TTGATTAATGTTTTAAGTATTCATTTATGGGAGTAAGGTAGTAGTATTCACTCATTTATTGAATTGATATTGCATTGATAAATTTATCATTAGACAAACATCAGTTTGGCTGAAACCAGGAACGGGTTCTTATGTACTGGCACGTGAACGGCCCCGCTGAATCCCAAAAAATATCATTAATCAACTTTAAATGTCAGTTTTTTTATTTCCAGCAATTTTCCTTTAACTTATTAATTGTGGCTATCAAAACTGTTCAGAATAATCGAAGGACTTGTATAACTGAAAATGCTTCATTGACAATCTACCTCAATAACATACCTTCGCTTCCAATATTTTGGGTAGAATGTTTGAATTGACTAATAACAAAGTTTGAATTGACTAATAACAACGTTTGAATTGACTAATAACAACGTTTCAATTGATAATAACAACGTTTGAATTGACTAATAACAACGTTTCAATTGACTAATAACAACGTTTCAATTGACTAATAACAACGTTTGAATTAACTTATAACAACGTTCGAATTAACTAATTACAACGTTTGAATTGACTAATAACAACGTTTGAATTGACCAATAACAACGTTTGAATTGACCAATAACAACGTTTGAATTGACTAATAACAACGTTTGAATTGACTAATAACAACGTTTGATTTGACTAATAACCACGTTTGAATATACTAATAATAACGTTTGAATTAACTAATAAAAACGTTTGCATTGACTAATAACAACGTTGGAATAAACTAATGATAACGTTTCAGTTGACTAATAACAACGTTTGAATTGAATAATAATAACGTCGTTCAAATAACTGATAAAATTCGAAGGCTTCCGATTACCACCGCCGCCGCTTCGACGCTCGCAGAAAAATTACCGACGAGCGATGCAATTTTTTCCGAGGCGAGGAGAAGCGCCGCGCATATCGGTCTGAAGTGAGGAGGTAAATGCGGACAAGAAGCCCCGATGCTGGCCGCGTCCGTCATCGGGCGGAAGGCGGATATGATGAGGGCCCAAGTGAGGAGATAAATGCGGACAAGAAGCCCTGATGCTGGCCGCGTCCGGCATCGTCGGAAAGCGGGCGTGATGAGGACCCAAGTGAAGAGGAAATGCGGACAAGAAGCCCTGATGCGGGCCGCGTCCGGCATCGGCGGAAAGCGGATATGATGAGGACCCAAGTGAGGAGGTAAATGCGGACAAGAAGCCCTGATGCGGGCCGCGTCCGGCATCGGCGGAAAGCGGATATGATGAGGACCCAAGTGAAGAGGAAATGCGGACAAGAAGCTCTGATGCTGGCCGCGTCCAGCATCGGGCAGGAAGCGAAAGTGATGAGGGCCTGGACAGCCACTCTCATCTTATCGGATTTGTAAGCGCATTTCGAGCAGTGAATAATATCTAGGCTTTTCAGCGGTGCTACAGACTCAACGTAGAAATTAGATAAGGTAAATAGAAATTGGATTTTGTAATGAATTTATAGTGTTATTTAAAGGATTATTTTAAGTGCTTAGTAAATCGTTCTGCACGTTTGTCTTCATAATGAAATTTGAATGAATTTATTGCTCAGGACCATTAACAATCAAATAGAAGACTTGGTTTTCACGATGCTTAAAGCATGATGTAACCAGAACAATAAAAAACATTTTTATATCCATAAAATAAATTGAAAGAACATTTATAGGAATTAACAGTCTCCAATGATATTCAGAAAATGTGTTGCAGTTTTTCATCCCCAGTTAAGACGCTTCTTCTCTACTCTTCATGCAGGGTACCTGTCTCAGCGCTCCTACATATTAAGCGCCACCTGAGGATCGGGATACGTGACCGTAAGGCATGAGGGATAAGTAAGACACATCTATCAAGATAACATATCTTGATACGGGTTGGTGTAACTAATGTATATAGTGTTATACGATACAGGTAGAGGCAACGGCGTTGACCGTACAGTCGAACTATAATGACGCGAGTTGCATCGCAGAGCGCTTATCAATATACTGCAGAGGCATTACTAAGGGTACGCACACAGTGAAAGCAGGTTGCCAGCGTGCTGGCACCTGCTCAGGCTGGCGCCTGAAACCATGGAATACAGAAGCCTGTTCGTACAGGTTTTCACTGTGAACACTTACATTATTATCTTATGTTCATTCTTGTGGCCGGTTGGAGCAGGTTGCCCGCGCGGGCAAACCTGCTTCCACTGTGTGCGTACCCTAAGGTTCCCAGCCCTTTTACAGGATCTCAGCTTCCGCCCACAACTAAGATCTTGATCGCGTGATCTATCACGTGATGTCGTCTAGACGCTGACTAAGGTCTAGTACTTTTCCATCAATCTCAATCACGTCAAGTGAATATTACGTCTCAATTACATATGATCTAATCATATAGGGTAATATAATTATAATGAATATAATGAGACACCAGATTGACACCGGAGACCTGCGATTAACATAGCTATAATAATGATGACCGTGTCGTGCTGATCTATGTTGTCGGTTCAAAGTAGCAAAACATCGAACAGGCAGGCGAAAATTTTAATCCATGTTGTCAATTTGTGGCGGCAAACACCGAGCATGTAGTTATATATTCTAATCCATAACATCAGTTTATGCAAGCAAAATAGAGAGCGCTTAGATGCATACACTGATCCATAACGTCAGTTTCTAAGAAGCAGAACACCGAGCGTGTAGGCGCATGTTCTGATCCACAACGTCAGTTTTTGATGAAAAACACCGCGCGTGTAGGCGCATGTTCTGATCCACAACGTGAGTTTTTGATGAAAAACACCGCGCGTGTAGGCGCATGTTCTGATCCACAACGTCAGTTTTTTAGGAAACACACCGAGTGTGTAGGCGCATGTTCTGATCCACAACGTCAGTTTTTTAGGAAAAACACCGAGCGTGTAAGCGCATGTTCTGATCCACAACTTCAGTTTTTGAGGAAAAACACCGAGCGTGTAGGCGCATGTTCCAATCCACAACGTCATTTTTTGAGGAAAAACACCGAGCGTGTAGGCGCATGTTCTGATCCACAACTTCAGTTTTTTAGGAAAAACACCGAGCGTGTAGGCGCATGTTCTGATCCACAACGTCAGTTTTTGAGGAAAAACACCGAGCGTGTAGGCGCATGTTCTGATCCACAACGTCAGTTTTTGAGGAAAAACACCGAGCGTGTAGGCGCATGCTCCGAGCTTCCAAAACATTTCCTCCTAACTTCACGCCGTGCCCGGATTTCTTGCCGAGCTTCCGATAGCTGCAAGGAAAAAGTTCACTCTGGGGGATTGCTTTTCTTGCGACGCGCCTTCCAAATGGAGTGCGACACAGCAACCGGCAAGCCAGCTAATTTGATGTAGAAACTTTCCTTGCTTTCTGAAGAAGTTTGTATTATTTAAAAATTAGGCCATAATAAGGTCAATTTAATTTTTGTCTTAATTTTCAGAAGCGTTTGTCTTTACTCAGCTTCGCATGTCTTGCGCGTGATAACAACAATGAACATCATGTCTCAGTGAAAGACCATCAATGACCATCATGTCTCAATGACCATCATGCCTCAACTGAGACCATCATGTCTCAGTGACCAGCATGTCTCAGTGCCCAGCATGTCTCAGTAACCAGCATGTCTCAGTGACCAGCATGTCTCAGTGACCATCATGTCTCAGTAACCAACATTTCTCAGTGACCATCATGTCTCAATGGTCAGCATGATTCATGGACCAGCATGTCTACGTGGCGATCGCCTCGAAAAACTATCAATGCACTCGTAGCATTTCATGTCCACAAGGAGAAAGAAAACTCGCACAGGCGCTTCTCGAAGATTATTCCAACGATTGCTGACTCATACTGAATACCTAAACAAACAAGGCAGTTATTTCGTCATATCGCGAAAGATTTATCATTAATATGTAGCTTAACCTAGTAAAAATTACAGTCAATATCGAACTCTGATTACTACAGGCATTGTCTGATCCGCGTCACTCACTGCTGCCCATATATGCATGCCCTACCTACGCCGGCTGGGCGCCGCAACAGCGCCGTGCGGCCGGCCGCCAGCTTGTGCCGCTTGTTAAACATTTCCTTGCCGCACATGGAGCACGCCGGCAGACGACGATTAGCAAACAGCGAGTGTACAACTTTATTTGCCAATTACATTTTTCTGTAATAGCTTTCTGGTTGCCCAGCTAAGCATGTCTCAGTGACCAGCATGTCTCAGTGACCAGCATGTCTCAGTGACCAGCATGTCTCCGTGACCATCGCCTCTAAAAATTATCAATGCACTCATATCATTTCATCTATTAAAGTAAGACGAAATGAAACTCTCACTGGCGTTTTTTAATAATTATTCCAACGATTGCAGACTCATACTGAATACCTAAACAAACAAGGCTGTTATTTCGTCATATCGCGAAAGATTTGTCATTAATATGTTGCTTAACCTAGAAAAAATCACAGTCAATATCGAGGGCAGATTACTGAAGGCATTGTCTGATCACGTCACTCACTGCGGCCCCTACCCTTAATTCCTGCGCCGGCTGGGCGCCGCAACAGCGCAGTGCCGCCGGCCGCCAGCTTATGCCGCTCGTTCAACTGTTACTTGCCGTACATGGAGCTTGCCGACATACGAAGATTAGCATCCAGCGATTGTACAACTTTATTCACCACTTAAATTTTTCCGTAATGGCTGGGACGTATCCTGACTGCCCAGCTAAGAAGGTTCTTAAAGTTTTCTGGTAACCGCTACGGTATTATTCTAGTTCAGGTTTACAAGCTACCGGCCAGCTCGTTCATATCGAAACCAAGAGGTACTAAAGGCGTGTCGATCGTCAAGCTTATATGTATTATGAATAGACATGCTAGTTGCTACCGGACGGCATGGTAGTACAGACATAGGACGGACAATTATTAGGACACTTCAGAAAGCCTTCGTTTTATTTGTTTTAATTTTAAAAATGACAACTTTTTATCAATAATTCTGTTTCATTTCTATTTTTAAAATAACGGTCTCAGGTTACCTAAATTATAATACAGCATTAAAATACATTATTTATTTTTACATATCGAGATTAAAGATTAATTACGTCCAGATTATTTGTGAAAATTTTAAGACGAAAATTTAAAACGTCATCTTGAAACAGAAAAGCTACGAACTATGAGGATTTTAATAATAATAGAAATACAGAGAAAAGTTTCTAAATATATATCCAATAAAGAGTTTTGACTCAGCCTCAAATCAAACATCGCCTAGTTTCAGATTATATGGCATTCGATATACCATCGTCTTTAAATAAAATACAGATGTTAATTAACATCACCATTCGTCACTTAATAAACTTAATAACATAAGATGAACGGAGTAAATTGCGTCGGTTTGTGTTGACTAAAGGCCGAATAAATGACCAGGCAGATTTAATGCGTAACGCTCGTCATTGCATGTGGCTAGAGCGGCCTTTGGTTGCCGTACAGTAAACTCATCAACACATCGTCTATTTTACACGAAGTATTTGGTAAATAAATCCATATTAACGCCATCAGTCAAAACCCTGGGGCTCGACCCGTGAGCCGGCAGCAGTGAAATGTATATATGATGCAAAGAAAACGTATACATTAAGCAGTGAAATGTATATATGATGCAGTGAAGTGTATATTTGATGCAGTGAAATGTATATATGGTGCAGTGAAGTGTATATATGATGCAGTAAAATGTATATATTATGCAGGGAACTGTATAAATTATGTAGTAAAATGTGTATAATATGCAGTGAAATGTCTATATGATGCATTGAAATGTATACCATGAAATACCGGAATATAATAATAAATATATAGTCTGTAGGTTATCTGAATGTCTCATGCATTAAATAAAACTGAAGCCTCTGATAGATAAATGAAAAATTTAAATTCAGGAGCATACAATACAGGAACCAAGAAGCATTTCAGCGAAATATTTTTTTCTAAAATTTAAAAAACGAGTAAAAAACTAGTTCTAGAATCCTCTATCCATCATCGTTATTCACCTAAACTTTCTCCGCAATTTATGGCATGAAACTGTAGTGATAGCTTTCATTCCTCAAAAACATTCACCAACATCAATTGTTGAGATGAACGCTAGGCGGAATATTTTCCGCATAAACAAGTCCTTCAAATATTATTTGATCATGAAATAACAAATGAATGCGCTTTGAAACCAATCGGTGCAGTTCTATTAAGTATAGCTGAGGATGCATGGAAGGATGGAACTCTCGAGCATTTCGAAGTCTTTCTTAAGAAAATTTTCTGCCTGGCTAATCGACAGCACCCAAAGCTTGGGCAGGCGGCTACAGATTCCGAAGAAATTGTTCGGTTGGAGACTCACACCACATATCAGAAGCATTTCCAAATTAACACACTCATAGATACGGGCAAACGATGAAGATGTCACATCGCTGAAGTTGTATAAACACAAATACTCGACATGGGGTATAGCTGAAACAATACGGTTAAAAGTATCATCTGTCATGCTAATAGCCGTGGATAAACTCAAGAATGACAAACTTGGTGGGAATGGGGCGCTCAAAACGTGGTGTAGCAGTTTATTTGAAGGCGTGGTGTCTAATAAGAACGCGCCTTCGAGCTGATCCATGTGCAGTGCTTTGAAAATAATTTCTACTTCTTCACGTATGTCTGCTGCTTGATCGCTCATGCATGTTTTAAGAAAGAGACATTTGACGGAACGCATTTCATTCAAGGCTGTCAAGAGGGGCAAGGAATTCTCATGGATTAACAGTTTAAGGAAGCCGTTAGAATGGATCCCATCCATAACTTTCACTATATTTGCGTATCTATCATTATTCACGGGTATCAGATCAAATGGACATATATTACAGTTTGAAAAAAGCTTGAAAATTTTAGGAGTAATCCATGAGCAACCATTTATGTCAACGAATTCCAAGTTTTTCGTTTCAACTAATCTAAGCGCGATAATGTAGCTAATGCTTTTGGGAAAGTAAGAATTTTTCATAATTAGAGTGTTAAGTAAAGTACATCGCTGACACAACGATTCCATTACATCCTTAGAGATCACAGTAGTGTCCGAGATATCCAGAACCTTTAATTTAGCACAACGCAGCGCCACCGTGCGAATAATATCGTGAACATCATAAGCCTTCGGGACGTAAAGTTCGCTCAGAAATTTCCAATTCGCCATCTTTAACGCACAGCTTGAGATTTGTGATGAAATTAGTCGAGGTTTTGCTACTCTCCGCCACATCAGAGGGTTGGACGCCAGTTCGTTCCATCGGTGACACACCAACATGATGTTCACCCGAGAACTTATGGGGATGTACGAGAACACTTCATACAAACAACAGTCCGGAATGCGGTCCATTACGCTTGCCTCGCTTTCCATTATGATTCTTGAAGATATAGAAAAGACTCCTCTGATACCTTTTCCAAGTATCGTCAATAAAATTCTGTAGGAAAAAAGAGGAAATGATTCTTTATTCGAACTTATGGGGATGTACGAGAACACTTCATACAAACAACAGTCCGGAATGCGGTCCATGGCGCTTGCCTCGCTTTCCATTATGATTCTTGAAGATATAGAAAAGACTCTTCTGATACCTTTTCCAAGTATCGTCAATAAAATTCTGTAGGAAAAAAGAGGAAATTATTCTTTATTCGATTCAATGAAAGGTCTATACAACATACAGTATATCGCTCGGTCATGTCCTCCATATATGACCGTCCTAACTCAGGTCACGCATAATTCGTGGATTATCTTTTTTATCGTGGATTATAATTCGTGGCGGTCATTTTGTGTGGATTTCGCTAGCCTCTCTGACATATTAAAGTGACATTTAATTGCTTACCAGAAACCTTCATATTACTTAAAATTTGAATAAAACCTTCAGAGGATAATTTAAGTAGATTAAGAGTGCCGTGTTCATTATTCACCAATTGGTTCAGCGTAATATTTTGCTGTCAGCTTAAAATCGCATCGCCACTCTCGTATAGAAGTGTGCGCATCGGAGAAGATATTGAAATATTTTACTTTAATCTTAATCCTTAATCCTTTGAGATTACTCGACCCGAGACAATTTTAGCAACTAATTCGGATACAAACTAAACAAGCACTAGTAGGGTACGATTATGTTGGAATAGTTCTTGAGTTCTAAATGAGATTTCACGTTAGGTTTTCGTCCCTACAGGCATTACCAACAGCTTAACTAAGGATAAGTAAAACAGAGCCAACAGAGGCACAATAAAATAGGGAAAAATAAATACGAATTAAACTGAGGTAACACAATTACAAAAGGGAGTAATTCTTTTTTAATATTAATATTAACGAACAGGCTTCACATTATCCCGAAGCGAGGTATCCTCTAATCCCAACGAACGGAATTTGTTTGCAGTCATATTACTTTCATCATATCTGGTTTAGATCACATTTCGCTTAGAGCCATGAAATGTGGGAAATGTATTTGTGAAATTCTGCATAAAATTAATGAATATTTGAATGGACTAATTGGATGGAAGCAATCAAAGCGAAGGCAGCATTTACTAGCCAATCAACACAGATGGCATTTACCTACTGAACAAAGTAGAGAACATTGTATCTAGATTTTCCGATTTAGGTTACGGCTGTTGCACATGGACTTTACTACTAAATTTCAACAAAGAGGACAGAATTGGTAGTAAAATATCGTCCGTTTGATTAGGCGTACATATGGCACCACATTTTCGGCCTGTGAAGACGAATCTGCAAACAGCATTCCAAACTTTCCAATCTCGATCGTCAGTTCATCTTCGAACATGGCTTTCCAGCACGAGAAACGACCTTGCTTGATAAAATCTAGTTATTATAGTTCTGATAATTAAAGTTAGATTAATTATCGCTGAAAATAAACTATTGTTTTGAAAGGTAATTTACTATAAAGTTTCTATGATGATAGACAAATTATTGACAGCTGTACCAGCAATGAAACGCATATGTCACCACATCATCAGATAGCCTACTGCACTTACATCCCCGCTCATCACTAAAACTTATATAATACTAATCAGAACTACGATTAATGGGCTTGTATCATCACTTAATAATTAAAAAGCTTATTCCATCGCACTATAAAGTTGTGACCCAGTTTGCTTAGTACAATTTTTGCTCGTTCTCTTTGAAGGTCGTCAACGTACAAGTTCTATGGCGAAGTTATTGGCATTGACCGTAGACGATTAGTGTCTCAACTCATGAATCGAAGATCATCAATTTTATAAAAATTAAAAAAGAACTCACAGGTTATTAAAAGACGATCTGAAACCTTCAATGGCAACTATAAGTTCACTACAACCAAGACGCCTTCGATACCTTTTTTCAGAATGTCGAATATAATTCTAACGGATAACTTTCTTCTAATCTAAGCAAATATAATCCTAACGGATAACTTTCTTCTAATCTAAGCAAATATAATCCTAACGGATAACTTTCTTCTAATCTAAGCAAATATAATCCTATCGGATAACTTTCTTCTAATCTAAGCAAATATTTTCCAACATTGGCAGATTAATTCCGGACAATTCCCACAGTATTCGTGCACTTAATTTTCTGCGTATATAGCGACACGAAACGAGGATCACCAAAATAGCATTACATCACATATACGTTAATATTAATGCCATATATACATCGAAAATAAAATATTAGTGTTTAATAGTCCCTCCTGGATAGCCAGGCTCCGACGTATGTTGCGGTAAAATTTGCAGGAATTTTCAATCTTCAAGATTGGAGTTTTTAAAATATATGGCCTTTTTCGTTCGGAAACGTGATAATTAAATGTAATTTTAATCATCTCTGATTCATGGCCTGGTCAAAATTCATGAAATTTTATGATAAATTATTAAAATGAAAATTAAATCACTCCATGCACTGGGATTATTTAATGTTGTTTACTGTAAAATAAATTCTAAATACGCCCTTGTTTAAGTCGTCAATTACAACAGAAAAAATATAAGTTTATTGCTAGGGACGCAGTCCAACGAAAGAAAAATAAAAGCTATTTTCATCCCTGCATTATTCAGTCAAGTGATCGAATAGGTCCGTGAATTAGCCACAGTGAGAATAAAGTTTTCTTGAAAATCTTTATTAACAAGTAAGAACGCTGAAATGTGATTAGGACTATATTACTGATATGAATACTTGAATCGGGATTACTAATGAGACTCCTGAAAACGAATAAGAGAACAAGAACAAAGATCTACCTAGCAAAGAATCGACTTCAACACGAATATTGCACTGTTATCAGAAATATTAAAATCTAACCATTAACATTAAGAATGAATCTCAAATATTTATACAAAATATACACGCTTGCTTAATAACTTTATCCCAAAATCCATTGTTCTCACTTTTCCTAATTACACCAAACGTACCTTACACTTCGACGGTAAACATAAGACTAATCTGGCGTCCGCAATTTGGTTTAACAATGCATCAAAGTGTATGAAAATATTTTTCGTAGTCTAAAACCGAAAGGTTTCAGTACTCGTATAATCGTCACAATCGTCAAAAACGTCATAAATAACGTATTAAATATCGTACCCTATTCCATCATAAAACGTATTGATATATATCGCTCTTCTACTATTTAAAGAACCAATAAAGCTGTTCTGTGATGTAATGTCATGCATCCTTCTTGGCAGTTCGTAATTGATGTTCCTAAAAGTTTGGAATAACGTATTCACATAAAAACTGAATTGGGCGTTTAAAATTAAATCTAAAGTGCGAAGTACAAGGAAACTACCAAGTTTTGAACCGTAATCTGAAGTAATTATTCCCGCTTCAGCACAGGAATTTTTCTCGTCTCGAAGCCAGAGAGAACCAATGTTTCATGACTGAAGGGAACCGCTTCTCAAGACTGAAGTGAACCGATGCCTATAAGATTCAGGGGAGCACAAAAATAACGAATTTGGCAACTTCAGGAGAGCAGAACTTCAGGAGTTACACTTCACTTTAGCTGGTCGTACCATGGCATCCGCCGGCTCAACGCCTCGGAGCGGGACAGTACGGCATTTTCGAAGTTCGAGAAAAATACTAGATAGTTCTAGAAAGGATGACGTAGCAGCCGGCCGAAGCCGACTACTGTCACGGGAGCTTAGCACAATGAACCTCTTGCCTCAACGGTTCTACCTTACACTTCGACGGTAAACATAAGACTAATCTGGCTTCCGCAATTTGGCCATGGTCACGTCAAACTCTCTCTAATACAAATGAAAAAATATACAACCAGTCACATACTTAAAATCATATCAGTAGAGTGTTCAGTATATAAATATCAGCAGAGGTGGGCAGTAGCGCGCTAGATGTAGCGGCCGCTACTATAGCGGCCCATACATTTTCAGTAGCGGTAGCAATAGCGGCGCTACATTTAAGCAATTGTAGCGGTAGCGCCCGCTACATTTAGAGCATGTTGCGGTTGCGGTAGCGGCCGCTACATTTCAAAGTAGCGCTGCTCAGCTCTGAAATAATAATTTTTTAATAAGAATAACAATTTTCATGGCTTCATAATTTCGTTGGTAGTTTTTGTTTGTAGATATGGACAACTTAGGGTTTAATTAGGTATCCAAGCTGCCTGCAGATTAAAAGCTGTCGAAATACATAAATAAAATTTAAAATTTAACAATGGATCAAAGTGTATGAAAATATTTTTTGTAGTCTAAAACCGAAAGGTTCAGTACTCGTATAATCGTCATAATCATCAATAACGTCATAAATAACGTATTAAATATCGTACCCAGGAACATCATCAAAAGTATGGGTATATATCGATCTTCTACTATTTAAAGAACCTATAAAGCTGTTCTGGGATGTAATGTCATGCAACCTTCTAAGCAGTTCGTAATTGATGTTCCTAAAAGTTTGGAATAACGTATACACAGAAAAACTGAATTGGGCACTTAAAGTTAAATCTAAAGTGCGAAGTAGTAGGAAACTATCAAGTTTTGATCCGTAATCTGAAGTAATTATTCCCGCTTTAAAACAGGAATTTTTCTCGTCTCGAAGCCAGAGAGAACCAATGTTTCATGACTGAAGGGAACCGCTTCTCAAGACTGAAGTGAACCGATGCCTATAAGAGACTGAAGTGAACCAATGTTTCGAGACTAAAGTGNTACATTCATGCTCAGAAAATTAGCTCCTAGTAAACAGCAACATGGTAGTGCTTGATCATCTACCGCTGCAAATGGTACTTACTGTAACATCAATTTTAAATCCCTTTAGAAAGGGATATAAAATGGTGCTTTCAAGGGAAACCACGCCATTCAAATGAGGTGGTTTCACTTAAGCGTGTTGTTGATCCATGAAGCCCAATCACAGTTATTTTCAGGCGTTTCCTTCTCAACAACGACCTCATTGGCGCAAAGTCTCTTCGCAACACTGTCAGTATAATTACACAGTATCGATCAAGACACGGATTTGAAATTTTCCCTTATCAAGAATACAATAAGTTTCTCGATTTATATCACGACTACACATGTTCTTCAACGGATTTACACATTCTACATTTTTCTTTTCGTATTTCTTTGCAACACTGGTTACAAAGACTCTTCAACACTTCTACATAAGCTCACAAAGTTAGCATTGATAACTGACGAATTGAGTTTATTGTCTAATCTACTAAGCACATAATTATAATTTATACGGGAAATGCATTGAAAATGAGGTCTAGGCTCTTTTGAAAAAAATAATTTTGTTCTCTTAAAAACAACAGGCCAGCGCTTCCCGTGGTGAACCCAAATTCCACATAAAATAATTCACATGAAACAAGTATATTAATTCTTCTCTGGGAAGTTGACTTTTCTTCCTCATTAAATTGAGCGATTTCAAGACTTCTTTATTGACTTTATTGACTTTTTTATATGCCGAAATTCAGAAGGTAATTCATCATTAGGCTCGTCTTTTTCTGAATCGTCATTGAACTTAATAATTACAGGGTCATCAATATTTAGCGTTACATTGTTTTTTCAGAATCAATTCACTCGCAAAACAGTCAAATGTGTCGTATGGAACTATGTAGACTGTTCCCCGGAAGGACCTAAAGTTGTCCCCATTAAAGCATGTCAAAAAACACCAACTGTCTGCTCAAGTTGTTGACAAACGCCTCCAAAGATCCAAGATTCTTCTTTCCCAAATTCATGATGGCACGTTGCCAAACCTCGTTTTCAGTGATGAGAAGATATTTAATGTTGAACACCACTTCAACTCCCAAAATGACCGAATTTGGTTGAAGAATGGGACGAAGGATCCCGTGTGGTGACTAGGAAGCAATGCCCGACCTCAGTGATGGTCTGGGCAGCCGTAACAGAGTCCTCAAGGAGTCCCCTCTTTTTTGTTGACAAAGGGGTGAAATTGAATCAGAAGAACTATCGAGATGCCATCCTTGTTGGTGCATTGTTGTCCTGGGCACGAAAGCACTTCAAATAACGCCCCTGGTCGTTCCAGCAGGACTCTGCACAGTCCCATGGGGCCAAATCGACTCAGGAGTGGCTGTCCGAGAATGTTCCCCACTTCATTACCAAAGATGAATGGCCCCCATCGTCACCCGATCTGAATCCTCTGGATTTTAGGATGAGAGCAAGGTCTCGACCGTTCACCATAGCAGTTTGGACGCACTAGAGGTCAAACTGCTGAAGGAGTGGGCCAAAATCCCGCAGAGTGTCATTCGTGACTCGTGTTAGGCTTTCTCTAAGCGTCTACAACTCGTTATTGATACAGATGATGGACATATTGAATAAAATTGTGTGAATTGTATCTCTGAACCTCTGCCTACATAAAAACATTTTCAAACATTCACAATTGTGTTGCATTTCATAGTTCTAACCACTCAAAGTTGTAATGCTAAATATTGATGACCCTATAAACGGGACATGGCATCCACAGCTAAATTTTCACAACCTGGTTTATATTTATTTCGAATTCATAAACTGAAACGTCGTTGGAAGTTCGCAGCCATCGTGAATTACATATGGCTATGGCTATATTAGGCAAATAACACAAAGGTTTATGATCCGTGAATAGAATAAACTTCAAGCCCAAATGACAGTAGAAAAAATCTTAATTCCCCATCGTATTGCTATGAGTTCTCGCTCTAACGTAGAATATGGACTTTCTGCTTTAGAATATATAGTAGAGGAATACCTTATAACTTTGTACACACTTTTTTGTTTGTATAGGGCAACCGCTTGCACCTACTGATGAAGCATCTACGAATAATTCTAATGGTGATGCTCTTTCAAAGTAATCTGGGAAAGATAAATTGACTTCCTCTAACATATTTTTTTTCAACTGGAAATATGCTGATTCCGTCTCTGGGTTTCAATCAAGTTTATCACGTGTTTTTCCTGCTGTCGATTCCGTCAAGGGCTTCGCAATTACTTAACAATCTTTAAGAAATCTCATGCCAAAATTCACGAATCCTAAGAATTGCCTCAACTCTGTCACGTTGGATGCATGGTTTTGGAAGATTCCTAATTCTACAGTACAACTATGGAAATTTGCTAATCCCTTCCTCATCTATTGGATGATATTAGATGATCCTCATCTTCCTCATCACCTTCCTCCTATCTTTAATCCCCTTCTAGCCCTAAAAAGGCTACCTTACACCGGAAAATTAAGCATGCACTAAGATATCTTTACTTGATTCCCGTATTTAATCAACGTATTTATTACCTTAGCAACTAAATCTAAATGTTCTTGGAATGAATGGCCTAAACTCAGTATACTATCTATAAAAACAAACACATTATTAAAATAAACCTCTGAAATAATCCGCTGTATATTTATTCTGAAATGTAATTCCACTATATTTGAGCCCCAATGAAAGTGTCTTGAATTGAAAATGCCCATGTGGCTCACTGAATGCTGTATATTCTTTGCAGTCTGGGTCCAATAGAACTTGGTAATAGCCTTTGAACAAATCTAGTTTAGGGAAATATGAGAACTATAAACATTTTCCGATAGATTTTGCATTAAAATTTCTCCGTAACAATTTCTTGATTCAGATTAATATAATCTATCCACGCCCTAATTCCTCTTTCCCCACCTTCACTAGATGCCTTTTCAAAACCGGAACTTTTGAACTACTATTTTGGACTGGTGAATTGCTACATTTTATAACAGTGGTTCCCAAACTTTTTCAGGCTGGCGCCCCCTCTGGCTCCCTAGTGAGCTTCTAGCGCCCCCCACAGACACATATAAAAACATACGCCTCTTTCTTGAAATTTAGTACGCTGCAATTTTAATAGATAAATGTTAAACAAAAATGTGTATTTCACAAATAGAACAACCCCATTTAGTGAACCAATATGTTACCACGTTTTTCTTGACTTCGTTTCGTGTCTGTGTCATCAAAAATTCAAACCTTAATTTAGAGCACTTCTGAAGATCCTAGAAACTTAAAATTTGGTATGCATGCTTATGCTGCCTAACAATTCAAGATTTGATCATCAGAAATAATAATTAAAAAAATTCTAAAGCTGCTTTAACTGTTTCAGCACTAGAAACCTAGGACGTCTCGGGCAAATTCACGGCCGGACTCGTGGTCAGTCGCACGACCAATCTCCAAATTCAATTATCAAGTAATATCTCCCAAACTAATGAACGCAGCTCAAGGAAACTTGGAACATATATTCATCAGAACCTAACGTTGATTTTTATCTCGTAAAAATTTTTAAATTTCACCTTCATTCGTGAGTTATATTGCGATAAAGGCCGAAATTCGCAGTGATCAAAGAATTTCTTCCAAACTGCTGAACAGGTTTGAACGAAATTTTGAATATACAACCCTAACTACCAAGCGTTGATTTTTTTGGCTTTTAAAAATTTCCAATTTTACCTTCGTTTGCGAGTTTTTTTATTTTTCATTTCACAGTCATTCTTGATTTCACACTTCCTTATATTCGGCCAGTATCGCCAAATAATTTGTCGCTTAAATTCGCGGCGATTAAGAAATTTCTTCTAAACTACTGAACAGATTTCAACGAAACTTTGTATATAAATACCTAACCTCTCAACGGTGATGTTTAGCTCGTGACAATTTTTCTATTTTGCTTTCGTTCGCGAGTTATACACATATAGTAGGAACGACCGGCTTTTCTACCGGCTGGTTTAACAAAGAGCCGTTTACGTATATCCGTATACGTATAGCCATATAACTCGCAAACGAAGGCAAAACGAAAAAATTGTAGCGAGC